CCCCCCTCCCCTCTAGAACCCTGTTTGTTTTTCAGAGTCCATCGTCTCTCATGGTTCGTCTACCCCTCCGATTCTAAATGTATTTTTTAAAAAGAGAATAATAGTGCAACAGTGCTAGAAGTTCTTTTAAAACATGACCTCTAAGGTTTATAATCCTAATATTGTAATATATTTATCTGTGCTATATATATTTAAATTTATATTTTTGTAAATGATATATGACAGTTCTTTGAAGTGTATAATATTGTAAACTCATTTGTAAACAATTTTTTAAGTGTATGTAAAACCCTGATGAACTCAGGGTTGCAGTTTTGGTCCTAGGGGACCTTGATGTCCTTGTCTCCACATAATCAAGACTACCGTATTTTGACTATTTGTTTAAATTGGAGATTAATAACAAAGCAGAAATGTTAGTTTAAAATCATATCATTGGCATTAATTTGAAAACTGGAGCTTTCATCAGATTTGTTAATTTGGAAAGTCTTCATGTTAATACCTACTGTATACTAACAAGTTACATAAGAGGATTTCTGTGTTTTTTTCATAATTTAGGTTACGGATATTTTAACACAGATGGCGTAGAACTATCATTGCTAAAACAATCAACTTTAATTTAATCAACTTTAAAGTCATCCTATAACTTTTACCTAGAATTTCTCAAAAAAAAAAAAATTCTGACCCAATTCTTTTTTGCTTTAATTTCTACTTCATCTGAAATTAATATGTCTGCTCCAAATTTTATGTGTATTTTCTCTGAGGAGTATACATTATTTTACTTTGTTCTTTGATTTTCTTTATCATATGGCCCTCTATACTGCCTATATACATTTTTATAAAATTAACAGATTTATCTCCACTTATATAGGGCAATTTAAATTATTTATCCTAGGCCCAATCAATGCATTTTATCTGCCTTTTGTCACATTAACATTTTATTGATTTATTTAAGAATCCTTTGCTTTCTCTGTTTTGTGATGAGAATGTTTTGTTTAGTTAATATTTTATAGTGATTTATGCATTTACATTCTGTTTTTATTTAGAGGTTCTTTTTGTGTTTTCTAAATAATAGTAAACTATACTTTAATATTTTTAAAATATTCTGACAGCTGTACTTTTCAGTATGATATCTGAGAAACAAGATAACCCTCAGGCTATTTCCTTAGAAGAATCCTGCTACTCAGAGATTGATAAAGTGTGTTATGATTGGCTCCTATTTCTAGCCCTATGTCCAACTTCCTAAAGCCCACATGCAAAAGACATTACTATATTTTTTTTCTCAAGACATGATTTATTTAAAGTTCCATGATTTTTTCATGTTTATTTTTCTGGAATATGTGTATAGTTATTAATATTTAAATAATGTCATTTAATAAAAATAGCTTCAGAAAAACAATAACCAAACTTTGTCTTTTATAAATGGACACCATTTGTCTATTAAGGAACTAGGCAAATATTAAGCACTAAAAAGTATTTGTTGTCTACATTGATAAATGAATGAATAAAAAATAATACACATATAAGATAATCTATTTGGTTTAAACAATATTTATACTCATAGTCCCTGGAAGTCAGAAAAATTGGATGTTTTGCCATTGAAATGTACCTTGAGGAAAAAAGGCAAAAGAAATTAAGATAGTGACTAAGACCAAGACATTCTCTTCTTTTATCTCCATCTAGGAGGACCCACAAATGCTATAAGATGATTAATGATCATCCTAGCTTGATGATGCTAATGCTAAACCAAACAGACCTGACCCCAGTCTCATTCATTCTTAATGGGATCCCAGGACTGGAGGACATGCACATGTGGATTTCTTTCCCATTCTGCTCCATGTATGCTGTGGCTGTGGTAGGGAATTGTGGGTTCCTCTACCTCATCCACTATGAGGATTCCCTGCACAGGCCCATGTACTATTTTCTAGCTATGCTTTCCCTAACTGATCTTTTCATATGCTTTAGTACAATTCCTAAAGCTCTCTGCATCTTCTGGTTCCATTTCAAGGAAATCAGCTTTGATGGATGTCTGGTCCAGATGTCCTTCATCCATACCTTCACAGGGATGGAGTCTGGGGTGCTCATGCTTATGGCCTTGGACCGCTACATAGCCATCTGCTACCTGCTGTGCTACTCTACTATCCTCACCAATTCTGTTATTGCAAAGGCTGGGCTCTCCACCTTTCTCAGAGGGGTTTCCTCATAATTCCCTTCACTATCCTCACCAAGCGCCTGCCCTACTGCAGAGGGAATATAATTCCCCACACCTACTGTGACCACATGTCTGTAGCCAAATTATCCTGCGGGAATATCAAGGTCAATGTCATCTATGGTCTGACGGTTGCCCTCCTGATTGGGGGCTTTGACAACCTGTGCATCACAATCTCCTACACCATGATCCTCCGGGCAGTGGTCAGCCTCTCTTCAGCAGATGCTCTGCACAAGGCCTTCAGCACCTGCACTGCCCACGTATGTGCCATTGTTTTCTCTTATAGTGCAGCCTTCTTCTCCTTCTTTTCCCACCGCTTTGGGGCCCACACAATCCCTCCATCTTGTCACATCATTGTGGCCAATATTTATCTGCTCTTGTCTCCCACTATGAACCCCATTGTCTATGGGGTGAAAACCAAGCAGATACGAGACTGTGTCATAAGGATCCCTTCAGGTTCTAAGGACATCAAATTCCAGAGCAAATGAAAGGGATATTTGCCTGGGTTGGGATGTGAAGGGAAAGAATGCTTCTGTCTGTCTGTTTAGGCAGGAGAATTTCCAAGAATAAGTATATAATTTTTCCAGGCAAGCATGATGAATAGTTCATTCCCATTAAATTTTCTGCAGAATACCAAATAATTTTTCATGCCACATCACCCTCCATATGAGTTTTTTACCTCCAGGTTTTCTGTGTAACTTTACCTCCAGGACTCAGTAATATTAGGTTCCAAGAAAGAAAAATACTAATGAGAAGCTGGGACAATTAACTAGAAAATTGAATCAAGTGAAACTAATGATCTGGGGTTAGATGACCCAAATCGTTCTGGATTTTTTTTGTTTTTGTTTTTGTTTTTAATTGTAAATGGAATTTCTAGATGGATAACTATAATTTAACCCTGGAAAAAAGATATTACATATTCTCATTATCACCAAAATCCTGTTTTCTTAGCAATTTTTAAAGATGAAACTAGAATGTCTTCTGTGTGTGAGGTGTAAGACTCTGGGGTCTTATGAGAACCTTGATGACTTTGTACCTGACCAGGTCAGTCCTAGCATGAGACATTCAGGCAATTGCTTCCTTCCCAACTGGTGGGTTGTCTTTTGTCTTCAAGGTGGCTTTCAAAGAATGCACAGTTTTGAAGGAGCTATGAATAACAGTTATGAAACTTATGAAATATATTAATGACAGTTATTAATGACCACTACAAAATAACAATAAATGTCTTTCTACAAGTACAGGGCTATGGGGAGCAATAGTTACTTTTCTTTTTTTGAGCTGAGAATTGAACTAAGAATTGCTTGAATATTTTCTGTACAATATTCAATATTCTTTCTAAATTAACATGAAGTAAGAAACTACAAATAATGATAGTTTTACAGCATTGTCACGGATAGCATAAAGAAGATTGCAAAGTTGATTTTTCCTTCCCAACTTCTAAGAACTACTTTTCTCTGATGTTGGTAATTTATGCTCATTAATTTCTGTTTCGTTAAAATGTAACCTCTAGTGTTTTTCACTTTATAAAGGCATAAAACGTACTGCATGGAGCACTGGGTGTTACATGAAAACAATGAATCGTGGATCACTCCATCAAAAGCTAATGATGTATTGTATGGTGACTAACATGACATAATAAAATTAAAAAATTAAAAAAATTAAAAAGATCACTTAACATAAAAAAAATAAATGTTCATCACAAAATCACCCTCTTTTCATATTTCTCTGTATCCTGATAGCAAAATTTCTTTAAAGGTTACCAGTATTCATTATCCCTACTTATACATCTTGAAATAATTCTTACCCATTTCTTGTTTTCTTCAGAATATCTTTCATTTGTTTCACTAAAATTGCTTTTGTCAATTTCACAAATGACTTTCATATTACTAAAGCCAATGGTCCTTCTCTACGCCCATCTTGCCTACCTCTCAACAATACTGAACGTAACTGATTAGTCCCTTTGTCTAGAAACCCTCTCTTTTCTTGAATTCTGGAACACATCACACATTCTAAGTCATTCTTCATTTTCACTGAATGGTCCTTAGAGTGCCATTTGCTTTCCCGTTTCCTCTGGATTTCTTTATACTAGCATATCCCTGGGTTCAACTCTCTTTTCTTTTTGCACTCATTCCCTAGGCACTCCAGTACACATAGCCATAAATGCCATTGTATGGTAATAACTGCCAGACTGATTAACTCAGTAATGAATTCATGGAAGCTCAGGTGCAAGTTCAAGGTAAAGAAAATTTCGTGATACCTTTTTCTTAATGGCATTCTGTCATTTCTAGGTCCTTTTCTTGTTTTGCCTTTTGTTTTTCCTGAGACCAGATGAAATCCAGGTCTCCTACTCTGCCATCTTGCTCCGCACCCCCTTGCCTTTTGTTTTTACTTTCATCTTATTTCAGTTCTAATCTTCAGTCCATTGACATTCTTCATGTGTTGGACATATATTCTTAAACATGTGACTATGAAGTCAGTTACGAATGTTTATTTTAGAAACATCCATTTTATTGTACTAAAATAGTACATTCCTTACTTTTAACTCAATTATTTTTAAAAATGTATTTTTTAAATTATTTATAAATATTTATAAATAAATTGTTTAAATAAATAATTTAAATTATTATTTTACGTATACTTCACTTCTTGCTTCTGATTATTTTATAGACTTTCCTAGCATGCAATCAACACTATTTTCTTAATCATTCCCTGATTATAAATATCTAAGTTTTTTCACTGTCACCACAGATATTACTATGCTAAACATCTTTGCTCACATGCACATATACACACATGCAGGCCCTTATGGAACTGGGGATATTTTATTCAGAATATATACCATGGAGTGAGTTTGCAGAGTCATAATCTCTGCACACTACCTTTATTGAAGCAGCCTTAGACTGCTGGTCAACTTTTCAATACAAACAAACAATGGAAACCAAAAGACAATGAAATGATATTTTTGAAGTGCCTAAAAAACACTTGCAACTTAGAATCCTGATCTCATGAAGGAAGGGAAAACTGAAGGGGGGGTGGAATCAGAAGGGGAGACGAATCATGAGAGACTGGACTCCGGGGAACAATCTGAGGGTTTTAGAGGGGAGGGGGGAAGGGGGATGGATTAGCCCAGTGATGGGTATTAAGGAGGGCACATGTTGCAATGAGCACTGTGTGTGTGTGGTTTTTTTTTTAAGTTTTTTTTTTTTAAAGATTTTATTTATTTATTTGACACAGAGAGAGAGACAGCAAGAGGGGGGACACAAGCAGGGGAGTGGGAGAGGGAGAAGCAGGCTTCCCGCTGAGCAGGGAGCCTGATGCAGGGCTCAGTTCCAGGACCCTGGGATCATGACCTGAGCTGAAGGCAGACACTTAACGACTGAGCCACCCAGGCACGCTGGTCATCGGTGTTATATGCAGGTAATGAATCATGGAACACTACATCAAAAACTAATGATGACTAACACAACATAATAAAAAAAAGATGATAAAATAAATACCTATTCACATAAACAAATGTTGAGAGGGAATACTAAAGTAAATATGTTATTCAGAATATAGAATAATGATTACCTGATGGAAGCTCAGAACGAAATATAGGAATGCATAACAAAACTAACGTTGAAGAAAAATACAATGACAATAATAACATCTATTTTATTGGTCCAAAAATGACAAGAGGAAAAAAGAATAGATGGGACATGGTAAAAAAGACAATAGGAACATGTAAACTTGACAAAAAATTATGTCAGTAATTACATTAATATGTTGACTAAGCAATTCAGTAAAAGAAAATGAAATGAAAAATAAAATATCCTAAGAAACTGTTATTTAGAAGACAGTGTATATATATAATATAAGAATATTATATAAGAAAAAGCTTGTGTGGCTATAACCAGCAAAGTAGATTTTAACGCAATAAATATTAGGAGGGATAAAATGCAAAGTTTTGTAATGATTACAGTAGCAATCCAATAGCAAAATATACCTAACTTTGTATATGGTTAATATCATTATAGAAACATACACACATAAACATACTCACAAAAGAGGTGGAAAGAACTAGAAGGGGAAATTGATAAATCCACAGTGAAATCATAGTTGGATATTTTAACAGTCTCTCAGCAACTGAAGAGCAGAGATTTAGAAAAATCTAAATAGTATAGAATATCTGAACATAAGCAACCGACTTGTCTGCACAGTAAACAACATCCACCAGCTTTAAGTATAGTTTTATTTCTCAAACTAATATGAAACATTTACCAAAATGAACAATAAGAGGATGTCAAGAACAAATTTATCTCATACATCTGAAAATGTAGATGAGATAGACACATATTAAAAACACTACAAGCAATCTAAGAAGAAAGATGTTATAGTAGTCATACAATACCATATGTTCCAATAATTCTGCTATTGGATATTCATGCAAAGAAAGTGAAAACACGAATTCTAAAATATATATGCACCAGTATGTTTATTATGCACCACTATGTTTATTGCAGCATTATTTACAATAGCTAAAATAGGGAAGCAACCTAAGGATGCATCAATAGACAGTGAATAAAGAAGTAAAGAAGATATGTATATATCTCACATCTTCTTTACTTCTTTATTCATATATATATATATACATATATATAATGGAATATTACTCAGCCATAAAGAAGAATGAGATTTGCCATTTGTGACAACATGGATGGATCTAGAGGGTATTATGAAATCAATCAATCAATCAAAGAAAAACAAATCAGAAAAAGAAAAACGTATACCACATAATTTCATTTATATGTAGAATCGAAAAAAACAAAATAAATGAATAAACAAATAAAAAGCAGAATCAGACCTATAAATACAGAGAACAAACTGATAGTTGCCAGAGGGGAGGGGAGCGAGGGGCTGGGTGAAAAAGGTGAAGGGGAAGGCTTCCGGTTACGGGATGAGTAATTGATGGGGATAGGAGGTATGGCATAAGGAACAGAGTCAATGATACTATAATAGCACTGTATGGTGACACACAGCAGCTACACTTGTGAGCATAGCATAATGTATAGACTTGTTGAATCGCCATGTTGTATACCTGAAACTAGTGTAGCATTTTCTGTCAACGCTACTCAAAAAAAAGAGGGAGAAAAGAATTTTTAAGAGAAATTTAAAAAAAAAATAAAAGAATTATTCTTCAGTCACATAAATGATCGATTTTACCTCCACCATAGCTTCTAAATCTATTCACTTTTCTTCATTTTTACTGCCCTGATCCTAGTTCAACACCCAGTCATCGCTCCTTTGGATTACTGCTATTCACCTGATTTACTCATATTTATTTTTGCCACATGGAATCTGCTCTTTTCATTGCTGCTATGTCCTAATTCTCCTTAAAAACTTCAGTGGTCCCTTATTATTTTAGCATAAATTTGCTTATAAGTCTCTGGCCTCTGTTGCTAGCTCAACAGCTCCATATCACATTGTATTTCATTTTCCACCACTCCTT